AAAAAAAAAAAACTAATAAAAAAAACAACACTACCAGCGCCACCACCGCCCCCAAACCCATCAACCGCATCGCCCCGTCAACCACACCGCCCCAAGATCCACTCCCCTGTACGCCCCCGCCGTCGACCTTCCCACTAAACCACCAAAGACCCACCAGGAAACACGAAACCCCCTCCCTTACCCCCAAATTTTTTTTTAAAAAACCCCTTTTTCGACGCTCAAATCGCCCATCGCTCCTCCCCCAACCCTCAAAACCTCTATTCGCTAAGGTTCCGAGGGTGGGAAAGGTGGAATTTGGGGATTTTTGCGATGGAAAAGGTTTTTTCTAGGGATTTCGAGGATGTGGGATTTTGGGGTTTTGGTGTGTTGGAAAGGAAGGCGGATTGTTGCCGGCGCGTGGGAGGGGTGGGGGTCATGAGTTGCGCGGGAGTGTGCTGCCGGAGGGTGACTGCAGCTGCTGGGATGGCTGGAGCTTCTAGGGAGGGGTGGTGGGTTTTAGTTGATTAATTGAAGTTTTTTTAATTTTAACTTTTGTTTTATTTATTACTTTTTTGTTTAATTATCTTTTTGACCAATCCCGTTTTGACACGTGTTTGATAACTTGTCATAACAAGTTTTATAACCGGTTGGGACCATTAAAAACAAACTGATATTAAAGTTCGAATTATTAAAAAATAATCGAAAGGTGGGATAATTTTGGTCGAATGAGACAAAGTTGAGATTATTCTTGTCAATTTATCCTAAAAAAATATATATATTGATATACAAACCACAAGCAATAGCCGTATATTAACATATTGTAGTAGTAATGTGTCTTTTCTAATTCTGCTTGCTCCATAAGTTAGACCAACTTGCTTCTACAATACTGTAGTATTTTATAATTACATTATTTTTTTTGTATTTAAAAATAAGGACTAATTTTGGTTTTTCTCTTAATGTTTTTGTAGTCTTATACAATATGAAATAGATAGAACTCTAGAGAACGAAGGAAGTATACCATTAATTACGGCCTTAGTGATAAGTCAACCTATGAAATTTATTAGGTATAAATTTGTCAAGGTATGGGTTTATACATGGTTATAAATAGTGGGCATAATTCAAATTAAAATTCTTGTGATTTTTGCAAATCTTGGAGAGTGGACTAGTCACCATACTACACCTCTGCCGTAGCTTTGATCTCAAGTATTCCATATGGAAGGCACGTTTGATGCCATTTGTGAAATACTCCGTATTTATTTGCTTTTTCTTTTGGCCATCAAAAATTGTTCTCGTTTAAAAATAAATAATTTTAAAATAAGACTATTGACTACTCATGATACATAGGAATCTGGCTTACTTTAAAAAAAAATTGTTTTTTTTTTTTTATTAATAGTGAAACATTGTAGATAGAGAACTAGGACCTTTACTGAGTGGTTGATATTTAACACGTGTTTTTCAATTATTTTGGGGAAAATTAGTGGGATCTCCTATTTACATAACTTACCAAATTCCATTGTTCTCGTCACCCCAACTTTCTACGGGGGCACAATGTTTTTGGTGAATTTAAAAAAATGATATTGTAATATTAAAAATTGATTAAAAAAAGATGATAACAAACCAAAAGAAATAGAAAGTTCAATAAAAAAAAAAGTTGAATAGAAATAGTTGTATATGCTATGAAGTATTATAAGATTGGAAGAGTTTTGTTAGTTAATAGTTAATAGAAAATTATTTAATGTCGTGCTTGTATGATAGATGTAGAGGCAATTTTAGAAAGACGCATACGAAGGGGTCAGCTTTTATTTAAGAATGAAGAGAGCAAGCTTCATATAAGGAACTTCCTCATTTGTGGCTCATTCACCTTTTTTTTTTTTTTTTTTTTTTTTTTTTTTTTTTTTTTCACCATACACCTATTTTTAGAGTGTACACCACTTTTAAAGAGGATGATAGTATACTGAATTATGTTCTAAAACTAGAAGTTGGATTCGTTTGGCATCACTGTGATTTTTTAGTTTTTATTTTTTATTTTTTATTTTTTTGTTATTCAAAATCATATGATATATGTCATACAATGAATTAAAAATTACTTAAACTTATTATGATTATGATAATTTTAAAAACTGACAAGAGAAAAGTGAAAACATCTTTTTTCTAGTATCCTATTTTTGGTTTTACTTTTCAAAAAAATTGAAAATTAAAAACAAAAAAAATGCCAACCAAACTATTCTTTATCAAATCATAACGTAAGGATTCGTTGTATTTTAATTAGTTGGGTTTGTAAACTTATTGTTTTATACTCTTTGAGACAAATAATGATGCATGTTATGCGAGTAATGTGACTTATTCTTCTAATGCTTCCTTTTGTCTTTTGTCCTACATTATAAATGGGGCAGCTTTTTTTTTTTAAATTCCATTTTATGATGGAAACTATTTTAATACTACCAACTTTTAATTGTTTTTTTAACATTGTCACTTTTGGATTAGCTTGTTTAACTTGGTTTAATTTTTGGGAAAATTTATTACTATTGTACATTTGTACCCTCTTATCCCACAGTATTTACACATTTATATTCACCCTCTCTTACTAATATCACGTTCTTTTCTCACTCAATTACTTTTTCTTTCTTACTTGCACTTCCCACATCAATATACTCTTCAATTCATGTATACTCTTGAAAATAATACGCCTCAAGATTAGACATGGATATTGAACACTACTACACGTCTACACCCGATTTAGAGTATTGATTTCCTTATGAAAAATCACTAATAGACAATTAAAGGCTTGTTTGGCATCAGTTTTGGTTTTAAGTTTTCTGTTTTTTTGAAAATTAAAAACCAAAAACAGGAAACAAGAAAAATGTGTTTCCACTTTTCTGTTGTCAGTTTTCAAAATTATCATAATTTTAACAAGTTTATATAATTTTTGATTCATTATGGGACACATATCATATACTTTTAGAAAACAAAAAACCAAAAAACAAAAAACCATAGCGGTGCCAAACGAACCCTAAGGATTTTGTTTAAGCAAAATATAAACTACTCCCTCCGTTTCAATATGATAGTCCCATATAGAATCAATCGTATAAAATAAGAAAAGGGGAATATTTGGAATCTAGCATTAAAGTAAAGAACAATTCACAAATAGTTTTACCTTATTTAATTTTTTTTGAATTTTTTAGGAAAGCATTAGCCATAATTGCATAAATCATGGGAGTAATTTCTTTACTTAGAGTGATTTCATTAATTCACAATCAATTAATCTAAGCAATCAGAATTTATTATGTATAAAATAGGAAATAAAAACTAAGTTAAAAGTAGAATACATTCAATATGGGTAGATCTTTTTGAAACGCCTAAAATAGTATATGGGACTAACAAATTGAAACGGAGAGAGTATTATTATAATTATGTATAGTATTTATGAGGGAATAAAATTATACAGTACTTTCCATGTTTGCATAAACCATAATACTCATAATTATGAAAGAATAATTTCAATAGATCTAATAACCATTATTCTTTAATTTTTGTCAGGTATTTTGTTACAAATATTCATACAATTATTAAACTTTTCCAAGGAAAATCATTATGGAGGTTTTTAAAAAAATTATGGAATACCAATTATAAAGTAACAAACTAACTATTAACAACTCAATTAATGTGAGATGTCGGAGATTATTACAATATGCTATATAATGTAGTTTGGCATAACTACTTGACCAATCAACCTGTCTTCTTTTAAGCATAAATTATTGGGTGTCAATGTGAAATGAACCTTTCCACATCGAAGAGGTAGGGGACACTATTATTTAGCGGATATAATGTATCTATGAATGTTATCTTGCTGTTTTATTTTGGCTTTCCCTATTTGTTGGATGTTAGTTTTGTGACCCTGATGTTGCTGTTGATTGTGGGACAGGCGGAGACATTGATTGAGCTTCTACGGCAACCAAGATCCGGCAACGCCGCTGCCAGAGACACTTGATTGTGTCAGTCCATTCTGTCCCACATGCCCTGCGGCCTCCGTACCCACCTTTTATATTCTCTTTTTTTACTATTATATTTCTCTCCTCTCCTCTCGCCCCCCCCCCCCTTTTTAACGTGTTCGTGGCTGAGAGAGTGTGTGTGTGTATGTGTGTGTCTACCTGATGCCATATATAGGGGCTTAACCTCCTTTTACCGAGGGGTCCTGTTTTCTAATCAGGTGATGGGAACTTGTCAAAAAGGAGTCTAGCTAGGGTTTGTGCTCAAATGCGCGAAGTATATACGCTTGTAAAAGTTGTTTTGGATCGTTGAAGTATTATATATAATCAATAGCTTGTCTCTTAGAAGGGGCGAGATTAGAAAAAAGAAGAAAATGAATACTATAGAAGAAAGAAAGTTTAGTGGAAAGAAAAAAAAATTACCGTGTAAATAGTTTGATTTCAGGTTTGTAAAGAGAAACAAATGAGCAAAGAAATTATGAGAGATGTTGGAGTCTCCTTTTCTTTAACTTAATTTGGGTTTATCAATGTTTCCTATGTTGGGTAACATTTTTGTTTTATTAAATGAATGGGTGTTTCAATTTGGCATTTCCATTAAAAAAAGTTGGCAGCTTCCCGCAACTAGTAACCTTTTTTAAATAATCTCCCTAATCCCCCTTAGCTATAGACAAGGGAAGATTAGGTACTTCCATCATTTGTTAATTAAAAGCAAATGTTATCAGATAACAAAGTACTGTCTGCCTTTATAATGAGATTAACTTGCAGAAAAGGAACTTTATTAATGTTGGCTTTATCACTAATTTTTTCTTTTAGCCTTTTTTTTTTTAAAAGAAAAATAACTTTTGCTACGAATTTTTTTTTTTTTTTTTTTTTTACAAAGAGAACTACCAAAAAGACAAAGCTTAAAAAGTAAAATAAAGCAAATCTCTACGCCTTGGATCAGCCACCTGAAACCTTGAAACCTTTCAGATATGACAAGTAGAAAAGGAAGAGACAAACTCCCAGATTCCCTGAACGAGCCAGATCACCGAAATATCAGTAGAACCAAGACCCATAAGTAGCCGCGGAATAATTGCCTTGATGCCAGGCACCATAAAAAAGACAAAAAGACTGGAGAGCATGCCTAAGGCCAAAAAGACAAGCTTGCAATTCTGAGTGGAGCGCAGAAGCAGCCATACAAGCCCTGGCCCCACCTCCAATGGACTGGAAGGAAGAGGTATCCCAAAAACACCACCCTATTCCTGCATTATAATTGCCTTGATCCCAGGCACCATCAAAGTGCATAATAACTATGTCAGGCACATTGGGATTACCCCGCAAAACCTGACTCACAAAAGGGTAAGAAAAGCCCAGGGGAATATCATTAAGGGAATCAGAAAAATCACGAGCCTTACCACTTTTGTCCCACCAGTCACGGGCGATATGCAAAATGGAATCAGGAGAGTAGACTGTTGATCTAAACCTAACACTATTCCTGGTAAGCCAAATGGCCCAACAAATCCCAAAGAAACGATCTAAAGCAGACCAATTCTTTGTTGTCACATATCTAGAGATGACAGCCGAAAACGAGACTAGAAAAGAAAGAGGAGCCTCAGGCTTAGGAAGAGACTCCCAAGAAAAGGAATCCCATAAATGGCGGGAAAGAGGGCAATCCCGAAAAAGGTAACCCACTGACTCCGAAGAAACATGGCAAAAAACACAAGTGGAATTAATGGGAATACCTTTCAATTTCAGAAGGTCTGCCACAGGAAGAGAACTATATAAAACCTTCCAAGCTAGCATTTTCCATTTAGGAAGGATAGGCAAACCCCAAAAACGTTTCCAACACCACGAAGCAGGCGAAGAGTGTAGGAGATTGAAATGCTGAATAAGAAAACCAGTGTAAGCAGTTTTAGTCAAGAAAGACCCATCCCGGGTGTACTTCCAGTAAACAAAATCGTCAATGTTCCGTAGCGGGCGTTCGAAACTAAGAATCGCCGAAGCAACAGAATTAGGGAACAAATGACGAATCAAAGAAGTATTCCAAGCGCCAGAATCAGGTAAAAGTAGATCAGAAACCATCAAAGGACGAGTCTCTTCAGGAATACAATCCTTAAAACAACCTCAACCTTAGGATCCCAACTGTCCTGTAAAATGCTGACTTTATCACCCGACCCAATCTTCCAAGCTAGCCCCGAAGATAAAGCTAACCCTCCCTCCTGTAGACCACAGCTGCCCCAAGAAGGATGAGGACAGGTAACAGAAGGTCTTGAAGACAATAAAATAGCATACTTAGCTTTGAGAACCCGAGATGCCAAAAGATGGGGGTTAAGTCGTAGACGCCAAGATTGCTTAGCAAGCAAGGCCAGATTAAAGGACAGCAGATAACGAATACCCAAACCCCCTAAACCCTTCAGAAGGTACATTAGTGCAAGAGAAGTCAAAGCCAGACCCCTAGAATCTTTGTTCGATTTCCACCAAAACCGAGTAAGAAGAGAATCAACCCGATCACAAATAGTCGCAGGAACCTTAAAAACAGAAAGAACATGGTTGAAAGAAGCAACCAGAACCGAATTAATAATGACCAGTTTTGCAGCCGTCGATAAGTGGAGAGAAGCAAAAGAAGAAAGCTTACGAACCACCTTGTCAATCATAAACTAAAAGTCTTTACATTTCGCACGGCCCAAATCCACAGGAAGACCTAAGTACTCACCAATAGAAGGACGTCATTGCATTCTGAGGCTAGCAGATAAATAGTCTCGGAAATCCGCAGGAGTGTTGGAACTGAAACTGACAAAGGACTTTTGTATATTAATCATCTGCCCCGAGATCGAGCAGAAATCATTTGTGACCGAAAGAATCTGGTCACATGATGAAGGAGAAACTTTAAAAAATAACAATGCATCATCCGCAAAGAAAAGATGAGAAACAGAAGGGGCCCGCCGTGACACACGTAAACCCTGGAACAAGCCTTTCTTTTCATCTTGACGAAGCATCAAAGAGAAAACTTCCATACATAAGACAAACAAGTAAGGAGATAGCGGGTCTCCTTGACGCAGACCACATTTAGGAAGAAAAGCCTGAGAAGGAGAGCCATTAACCAGGATTTGGTAAGAGACCGTCGTAACACATTGCTGCAGGATATGGACCCAGTAGGGAGGAAAACCAAATCGACGGAAAACATCTGTACACACCTAAATGTGTCTCCCCAAAACCAAACCCATTGATGAATACCTTTCATGTCATTTGATTATTGAACGAAGCGAAAGTGTGAAAAGTCTAGTGATGAGGATGTTTTTAATTTATTAAAATATCTCTTCTTTTTGTTTTTGAAAATATTTCTTTTCTTACCCTATTTTTGAAAAACGTGAATTCTAGTTTAGTTTAGTCCATGATATGGGTCCAATAATAGTGTAAATGGATGGGGCTTGAAAAGACAGTTCCAACGATATATTATAAGCCCAATTTCGATGAATAATGAGGAAGTTATGGCCAAAATACTAAATTGTGCTCGAACCGGATCTTACCTACGACCCAATGATCATGTGGAGGGTCCAAAGGTCTAATCTTATTCTTAAACTAATTAGGATTAATTAGAAGCTTCTATAAGTTTCTAAAAGATCTTAATTATCTTTTTTGAAAAGATAAGATTAAAGAATTTGAGTTAAATAAAACTTTCCTTTTTCTTAAATCCTAATTCTATTCGAATTTAAAGATGTTCAAAGACAGTCATATTTTATTTTCGTGCATCATAATATTTATCCAAATTTTATATGGTTGGATAGATCTTGAAATTATCTTTCCAATTGTATATTATAATATTAAATCCGAGCTATAACGAAAAAGATATGAATGAGATATGAAACTCTATTCAAAACTGACACCGTTCTACTATTTCAGCCATATCTCTACAAAATATTTTAATCTGATTTTGATTGGGTTGAAAATTAGAATTCAAGATCTTTCCAACGACATATTATATGCCTTATTTGGACTTCTGTATCAAAAGATATGAGAAAAACAAAATCCGTAAAAACTATTGTCCATCGAGTTCTATTTCGATTCGAATTCGGATTCTTTTCTTTATTTTTCGACTCTCTTTTTTCCCTATAAATAGAGGTCATATCTCCTTTTTTTAAATCATCAACTCTCATCAAGAATTTCTTGATTCCCTCTCTCTTTCTATCCTAGCCTTTTACAAACACAATTCCTCATACATTAGCACTAGACACACCTAGCCAAGTTCGAAGTTGCCTTCGCCCTAGACGTGAAAGGTTTTAATTTCTGAGGGTTTGGTCCCAAATCTCTATTTCAATTATTTAATTTAATTGTTGTTTATTATTTTCCTTGAAGTTACTAACGTGTGTATTTTGTTATTAGAAAGAGATACGAGGCATCCAAGTAAGTACTTTAATTGATTTATTGTTGTTATGATATAGAAATCATGTCTAGGCTGTTATTTTGATTCCTAATATCACGTTAGGATGTTTTTCTTAATTTGATGTTTAGAATGACAACAATAAGTTCCTAGTATCATGTTTAGGGTAAAGAATAAGTTCCCTAAATCAAGCATGATTTCTATGATGTCTTTGATTTTCTTTCCTAATAGCATGTTAGTATCATGTTAGGGCTAAAGTTTTGATTTTTATTGTTTAGTGACATGATAGGGTTTATTATTAATCTTGTAAGTATCATGCCTAGGATCTTGCTATTATTATGCTTTAACATGTTAATTATGATTTTGATTATTTTGGTTATAATTTTGATTATTATGATTATTATTATGTTGCATGATATATTTATTGTTATTGCTTGATCACACCTTTTATGCATGTTTAAAGGGTATTTGTACTTGTAATCACGCTTAATAAGATAATTAATAATCTTGTTTAGGGTTAATTTGATTATAATTCAAGTGATCGCCAATAATATATTTATTTGTGCATTAATATTCAACCAACATAGATAAACAGGTTTAGGGTTAATCCTAATGATTGTATGTTAGTCAGAAAGCGCACATGAATACGATCAGAATAAAGTAGAGGCCTATTATTAGGGCAGGTTCAATCTCTTTTAGGTTGGATTTGTACGTTCATCCCCGAAATACCAGTCATGGTTCCAGACCTATTGGAGTTAACGATCTCCTGGATTGTTAAGGGGTGTAACATTCACCTCGTGAACGGTTTACAAGTTCCTAAAACTTGTTGGCGACTCTTTTGCTCTATCTTCTTTCCCTTTGGACGCCACCGTACTTTAGTGTATGATCACAGTGGGGTTCAAGTTTGGGGTAATGCTTGAAATAATCCCTACAACATCCGATAAGAAATCCCAGTTAACCCTATCATAAGCTTTGTTCATGTCAAGTTTCAAGGCAGCCGAACACAGCTTGGAGGAGGAGGTGGACATGTACCAAAGCAACTCATGAGCCAAGAGACCATTATCCACCATTAATCTTCCTGGAACAAAGGCATTTTGATATTCCGAAATCAAGGATGGTAAAACACGACGGAGCCGAGTCGTAAGACACTTCGCAATACATTTGTAAAGCACATTACACAACCCAATTGGTCCGAATTGGGACGGAGATTCTGGATGACCAATCTTCGGAAGAAGAACCAAAAGGGTACGATTCCACTCCTTTAATAAGTATCCATGAGCAAAGAAGAACCTAACAGCCTCAATGATCTCAGAACCTACCACCACCTAGTGAGACCTGAAAAAACCAGAAGTAAACCTATCTTGATTCGGTGATTTATCCGAACCAATATGGAACATAACATCCTTAATTTCCAATGAAGAAAAAGGAGTCATTAGAAACTGATAATCTGCATGTGATAGAGTAGGAATTTCCAATTCCTCCCAGTTAACAGGACTAGGAATAGGAGAAGTATCCTGACAATTATAGAGTAAAGAGAAATGCCTGAATAAGAGTTCAGAAATTTTTTGTTGATCTGAGACCCAAGCACCGTTGTCGTTCTTTAAACTCATGATCTTGTTCCGACGTCGACGAGCTTGAACAAAACGGAAAAGAAGACCTGAATGAGATTCTCCTAAAGCATCCAAACGAGTCTTACACCTTTGTTTCCAGAACAAGAAAGCAGCCTGTGCCCGAGACAACCGATCCTCTCGAACCAGTAAAAGATCACCTCGAGCTTGATCATTCTGCAAATCAGAAGAACCTGAACTCAACGAACTGTAAAGATCCTGCCAATGTAACAAACATTGCTTAACACTCTCCAGTTTACGAGAAATGGAGAAAATCTGGGACCCCAGGCGGGAGGTCCGCCACTGAGACTGGACCAAAACGGAAACTTCTTTTAAGCCCAAACACCAGTTTTCAATCTTATACGGACGCTTCTTGAAATTAGGTAGACCCGATTCCCAAAAATAATAGCAACATGATCCGAGAACAGTATCGGTTGATGGTAAATAGAAGCCTCAGGATGTCGATCCATCCAGGAAGAAGTAGCAAGCCCTTTATCTAGCCTCTCAAAGGTAGGATTTAGGACTTGGCCATTAGTCCAAGTAAAGTGAGGACCAAAGAAAGAAATATCCATCAATTGCGAATTAAGTTTCCATTCTATAAAATCATGCCGTCCAGGAATTACAGAAGAGCCTCCCACTTTATCACTAAAATACTCAACTTGGTTAAAATCCCCTAAAATAACTGCATTTGGAACTTCAATTAAAATTGAAGAAATTTCCTCCCAAACCGAGAACTACGAAAAGAAATATGAGGCGAACCATACACAAATATGATATATTTTATTACTTGACCAGGAACTTCCTCTTTGCAAAAAATAACATGAGAAGAAATTGAGATAGGCCTAACAACTACGGGAGCAAACCAAAAAACTACCAATCCCCCGCTAAGGCCTAAAGCATCCACTCCACAGAAACCATCAAAGTTAACTAAGGATAACTTATTCATAGCTACATTTGCAGAAACTAAGGTTTCCATCAGAAACATAATATCTACATCAAAAGAGCGGACTAGGGAAGCGACATATGGAACTTTAAGGGAGTCCGCCGTACCAAGACCCCTACAATTCCACGCCGCTATGTTCAAATCTGACCTGGTGGCTCGTTTTGGGCAGCCACCATGCCCTCAGACCCCTGCAGGTAGAACCAGAAGATGAAGAGCCTTCATCGCTGCATTTACGCTTCTTAAAAGGCTTTAGAAAGGAGAGGCAAGTAGACCCCGCATCTGAAATTGGAGGTTGAACCATAGGAGATGCCGGAGTAGAAGAACGACGCTTACACGGGCACACTACCTTAACCCATTTCCAAACTTTGTCTCCTTTCTTGCTCAATTTCAAGGTAAGCGGCTTCGTCCCCTGTCCAATATCCTGAATAGGGGGAGTTGAAGTAGCAGACGCCGGGGAACCCGGAGAAGGAGGCACTGACGCTGGCGGGGAACACTCCATAGGAGTTAGTTCATCATTCTCAAGACCCGAAACATCACTTGGAATTTGATAGTCATGAAGCAGAAGAGATGTAGCCTGAGAATCTTGAGAAAATGCGAATCCATCAGTTGAGGAATCATCCAAATAACCGGAGTCCTCCGAATTATACGTTGGGAAAGAGGCTGCCAATGACGGCGACGGTGAAGGAATAGACATCGGAGTAGCTTCCGGTTGAGGAGATAGAGTAGACTAGAGCCAGTTACTAGGACCCGCCCCAAAAGGATCCGGGAAAACCGACCCTGAGGGGCCCAGAGGGGGAGGCGAAATCCGGCTCACTGCCACGACGGTAGAACAGAGGTTCCATAAACCTGGTACGGGTCAGATCACAAGCTGATCCAGTTTTTTTTTTTTTTTTTTCTTTTTTTTTCTTTTTTTCTTTTTTTTCTTTTTATTATTATTATTATTATTTGCTACGAAAGTTGAAAGAGACAAATGGTTACAAATGAAATTTGTCAAAAATAAGGAAATTTTGTGGAGAAGTACCAATTAAAGCTCGTGTGGGAAACAACTACTTTTAATTTTTTATTTGTTTTTATAAAAGAACTAGTCCAAAGTTGTAAAAAGTTTAACTACCACTATCACTCTAATAATCTATAACTATACTAAAACAGAGAGCACTCGGAAAAGAAGCTCCACGTGTCACCTTCACAAACCATATTTTCCCGCTATTTTTCCGCTATCTTAAATAAAGAAATTATTCACTAAATAATCAAAGACATTCTATTTTCTTTAAATATTACGCATAATATGTATATATATATTATTTACTTGGCAAAATTGGTACGTCAATCTATACTTGGCAAATAATCTCTAAAAGTTTATGATTATATCTTATTACATGTATGTGAAAAGGTAGAAAATCGCAAAATAATATTCATTCAAAATAATATAGTAGAATATGTGGAATATATTAAGTAAAATAATATAGTGGAATATGTGAAATATATTAAGAATATTCACAAAGATTGTATAGTAAGAATCATATGTTACGAAATATAGTAAGAATCATATAGTAAGAATCATATAGATTTTGAAGTAATAATATTCGCAAAATATATTAAGAATCATATGTTACGAATATAATGGAATATGTGGAATATAGTTAATTTGTGATTTGACAAATCATTTTTATGAACAATATTTTTACTATATTCTACAATTAACGAATCTCCTTACTTAGTTATTTTAGTAAAATCTCAACATTCCACTATCATATAGTTGGTTGATTATTTAATAAAATATAGTGTTGACATAGTTACCACCCTTATCTAAATTGCCCGGAATAATCCCACCTTTGGGCCGTCCGCTAAAATTAATCCCACCTTTGGATTATTTTTAAATAATCCCACCTTTACCCCCGATCTTCTCCCAATGGTCCAAAGTTACCGGTTACCTATTCCAACGGTAAATTTTTTTTTGGATTTAAAAGACACGTGTCACCATACAATTTGTTTAAAATTTTAAATTAAAAAAATGAATTTAAAAAAAAAAGGAGCAGCCACCTCCTCCGATCCACAATACTCCACCAGCCCCAGCCACCACAATACTCCACCAATCCACCTCCTCCGATCCACCATACCATCAGAACGGAGCTCGCGTGACGGGGGAAGGAGAGCGGTGGGCTGAGCGGCAGAAATCGAGGCAAGGGGGACCGAAGTCGTGGTTTCGTGACGGAGGGAGGAGGTTCAGCGGCACCTGATTTCACGGAGGGAGGAGGTTCACCGGATTTCGTGACGGAGGGAGGAGGTTTGAAGGGGGTTGAGGAGAAGGGGGTTCACGCGCCTAGTTTTGTGAGGGAGGCAGGGGGTTCGACAGTGGTTCAAAGGGAGGCAATCCTGGTTTCGTGAGGGTTTGAGGGTGGTTCAAGGGGGTGATTTCGTGAAGGAGGAAGGCGTTCGAAGTGGTTCAGGGGAGGGGGTTCGACGGTGGTTCATGGGAGGGTGGCAGGTGAGGTCGGCACGTCGGGAACGGTGGCAGGGGGGTCAGCGCGCCGGGATCGGTGGTAGAGATGGTGGTTTGGCTGGTGGGTGGTGGGTGGTTTCTAAAATTAATTATTTGTTTTTTTTTTAATTTTTAGACTAATCAGGTGGCGACACGTGTCAAGTAACTTGCTATAACAAGTTAATTGACCGGTTGGGACCAATAAAAAAGAAGGGGGGTAAAGGTGGGATTATTTAAAAATAATCCATATGTGGGATTATTTTAAGCGGACGGCCAAAAGGTCGGATTATTGCGGGCAATTTTTCCTTCCTTAAATTAATAGACACTATATTTGAGTGTAAAAAACATATAAATATACACTTATCATTTTAATTGATATATAAGAACCAAAAGTTTGTATTTTATATCATTAAATTCTAAATGGCGTACACCATGTTGAATGATATAACCTCTCTTAAAGAAAACTGGAAGACCAAAGTTAGGATTGTGAGAGTTTGGTATGTTCCAGACTACAATAAACCTGAAAAAACTGGTTCAGTTGATTTCGTTTTGGTTGATGAAAATGTACAATGTTATTTTTATTGTTTCGTTATTTATTCAAACTACAAATGCATGCGTTCTATTTATTTATGTACATAACAATTACTACAATTTTTATCATAGGGATCAAAGATGCAAGCCAGTATCAAACAAACACTTATTCAACGATTTGAAAAACTTGTGAAAGAAGGCTCAACTTGCATCATTTCTAACTTTGGAGTAGGAAAAAATTATGGAAAGTATAGAGCAACTTGTTATACATATAAAATCAATTTTTTTTATAAGACTTCAATCAAAGATTGCGAAGAAGTTGGGCTCTCCTTACACGGATTAGATTTAGTCCCTTTTCATAAAATACTTGAAAAACAGTTAAATGACATTTATTTAGTCGGTAAATATCATATTACCTTTTAAATGACACGTTTTTGTCCCTTTTAATTTCTGTTTGTTTAGAAATTTAATTTTTTAAAATCAATATATTTTGTGGTGTCTTATAGATGTAATCGGAACGATTACAGGAATAGGTGAGATGATAGATGAGTCGAAAGGTTCTACACCAAATTTCAAGCTGCCACTTGAGATAGAAGATCAACAGTGAGATAATTTATTGTGTATAATATTTTGTACAAAAAAGTTAAATTTTTCTTAATTAAATTTATTGTTTTCTTCAATACTATTGATAGGAAGAACAAATTGAAAACTACTTTATGGGGCAAGTATGCTGAACAAGTGTCAAATTTTGTAAAGGATGACATTCAAGGACACGTCGTTATCATAATACAATTTTCTATGATTAAGATCTTTAGAGGTAATTCTATTTTATTTCAAATTATGTTTTTAAAATTGATATTGTTTGGGTCCAATTTAGTCAAAATTGGGCCGGAGCACTAAATGATCCAATTAAAAGCCCAAGGTCAAGGTTCAACTCTCCAATTGCTCAAAAGTCAAAAGTCAGCCCACAAAATAAGCCAATTGGGCTAAAGCCCAACCTCTCCAAATATGATGAGGTATAAAAGCCCTCATATTAACACATTCAAGAAGACATCTCATAACATCATATACACTATCAGACACAACAACACATGCATCATCCCATACATTATCTCATACACGGATTATTCCAACTCATATGCTCATTCTTGCATTGAGAAATACTCCACAAAAGCCTCAAGCTACAAACTCTCTTGCATAGTGTCTTCCTTTTTACACATTGTACTGACTTTAGCATCGGAGGGGCCTTCCTCGGAAACACCCCCGAGGCTAGTTTACGTGTGTTCACTGTGCAGGAAACCTTCGGCCCAACACAGCTTGGATCGAATCCAGTCTTCTCCATTTTAGTGGACATTCGGCAAGGTCCCATTGTTTTCAACCGAAACAATTTGGCGCCGTCTGTGGGGAAGACTTTCAAAAATCTTTAAGCCAAATTCCTAACCAAGATCGTCTTGCAATTATCTTAGCAGCCATGGCTAAGAACCGCAAGAGCAAAAGCCTCCGTCAAGGAGCGGGCGAAAAGCCTAAAACCCCTACACCATCGCCCTCGCCGGACCGGAACTCTCCCAAGGGTGCCGGCTCGGGGGGAGGATCACACAAGGAGGATTCCCTATCTCCTATAATGCACGACTCTCAATATAGGCCGGACCACTCTCGGTCTAGCAGGGGTCAGTCTGATCATAGGACATATTCAGTGTCCCGAAGCCAACCATCGGCTGCACGGCCTCATGCCCACACTCGGCCGGAGACCCCTTTGACGGGGCCCAGTTCGGAAGAGGTGGCAAGAGCGCTGGCAGTACTCATGGAGGCAATGAGGGCACAGAATATGCCACCGCCTCGTGATCGAACTCCTCCGCATACCCGGCATCAGCGGAGGAAGTTAGACCATGACGGTGGGAAGCTTCCTTCCTTCCGGGAACTGGAAGAGTGGGAGGAGGATTCTTGGAAAAATGAAAAACAGAGGAAGAAGAACTCTCAATTATTTAAAGGATCCTCATCCTCAAGACCAGCAGCGCATAAGAGCAGCAGCTCAGCTTCTCGGCCAGAATCTGCTCGCCGGGAACCTGAGACTGCTCGCAGAAGCGTCCTTGACCGACTCGGCGGCCAGGAACCGAGCGTGCGTAGTCGCCTCACGTTCCCTGCAGCCGAGGCCCAGACTTCCCAGCCAGGGACGAAAACCACTCCTACCTCTCTGAGAGGGCGGAGCGCGGTCCCTTCGGCCAGGAACAAGGGCAAGGCCATTATGCTTCCCGCTAGTTCACCATTCGAGCAATGGATACTAGAAGAGCGCGTACCCACGGTTAAAATACCGTCGCATATCACATATGACGGGACCACGGATCCGAAGGACCACGTGGCCTCGTATGAGACTCATATGCATCTTTGCCCCAGATCCGAGGCGACTTGGTGCAAATATTTCCCAACCACTCTCAAGGGGGTCGCGCAAGCGTGGATCTCCAAGGGAGTAAGGCAAGGCTCCATAACAGGTTGGGATGATCTGTCCTCCAAGTTCAGGAGCAAGTTTTCCACGGCAAACCGCCGAGAGAAGACTACCGCAGAGCTCATGGGTCTGCAACAGGGGGAAACTGAAAGCCTCCGAGACTACCTGACCCGTTTCAGTAACGAGTCATCAAGCGTCTCTCAGCTGGACCAAGGGCTAGCTGTTTTTGCAATGCAGAATGGCC